AAAAAAAAAAAAAAAAAAAAGTGACTTTTTAATTTCCCAGGAAACTTAATATTTCCATCCTAAGGCTGCAAGACGCAAGAAAACAAAAGTGTATAGTATTTATGGTAAAGTTGAGGACTAGTATTAATACAGCGCATCTTAAAATGGAATAAAAGCCCATCTACAGTAGTAGCACCAGCAGAAACATGACATTTTTTAAAAACACAATTCATATCAGATAAGGAATATGTCGTTTTTTACAGCCTAAGCTTTCATTTTTATCACTGTAAAATTTGGTGAATGAGAATATACTAGTTATTTGATGGTAGAATGAAATAATAAAAGATCAATGACTTACTTAGAGTAGTTATTCAAATGGTAGCTTTTGTTATACTAGAGCGGACTCAGTAATCCACCTGTTTACAGCCTCCCAAGAGCTGGGATTATAGGTGTGTGCCACCACGCCCAGTCTCAAATGCCATCTCAGTGCTCGAGGGGGAGGGGGGAGAAACCACAACATAGCAGGCCCAGGGATCCCCACCCCTATGCCTGCTTGCAGGTGCTTTAATCCACTGAGCTATTTGGATGGCCCTTACTTCAGACTTTTGATTCCTCATTGTCACTATTTAACAGAGACTAACATTCCCCAGATTAACAATACCGCAGAAAAATGTCTGCATCTTGTATTATGAATAACCACTATGAAGACAATATTCAATGGATTAATTATTGAAACTGTCCTACTAATCAGTTTTGAAACTGTCTCATTGCTATTTCTCAATAAAATAAAATAGCTTCAAAAGATACTGCAAATGTACAGTAATGTTTTCAATAAAAAAGGTTTCATAAGTATGAACAATTATTGAACACTGAACATTTTTTTTTCTAGGTAAATCATATATTTTATATTCTCAATTTGAAAACTCCACCAAGTACACTTCATTATTCCCATTTTATTTTTATTTATTTATATAATGTATTTAGTACAGGGTCTATAGTACATAGACTGGACTCAGTGATTCTCCTGTTTTCAGGCTCCCAAGCGCTGGGATTACAGGCAAGAACCACCACACCCAGTCTCAATCACCGTCTCAGCACGCTCCAGGAGCAGGGCCAGCATGGCACACTGGGGATCGAACCTCAGCCGCTGCACTCTGCCTAAGCAGGCGCTTTAATCTGCTGAATATCTGGCCTACTCTATTCCCATTTTACTGATACAGAAACTGTATGCACATATTGCTGTGGCATGCTGCTCTTAATTCTTTTGGGAACATACATAGAAGGGGAAGAGCTGGGTCAAATGGAACCTCTAGTCATAGTATTAAAAAAAAAAATAAAGTTGCATATTTTAGGGTCAGGAATGGTGGCGCACACCTGCAATCACAGCATCTGTGAGACTGAGGCAGAAGGGTGTTGCAGGTTCAAGGTCAACTTAGCCTATATAGTAAGTTCAAAAACCAGCCAGAACTACACAACAAGACCTTGTCTCAAAAAACGGAAGTTGTATATTTTAACACACCAACTAAGACTGAACTTTTACGAATAAAAGTTACTTATTGCTCTTTGTAAACTGTCTCCATTTCCCATTTGAAAAAAAAAATGTTATACATTTAGCTGGTTGTGGTGCTGCATTCTTGTAATACCAGCACTTGGGAGGCTAAGGCAGGAGTATTGCCATGAGTTCAAAGCCTGCTTGAGCTACACAGTGAGATCCTGTCACAAACACACACGCACACATATACGTACAACAAAATTCTCTCTCTTGAATATAGAACTTACGCTCTTCCTTTTTTGTGGTGCTGATGATCAAATGCAGGACAATGTGCAATATTTAGGCATGACTCCATTTCTGATAAGCTGAGAAATCTCTACTACTGAGCTGTGCTCTGAGCCCACAGGCTCTTTTGAATGACAGATACCTGATTATGTACCTTATTGCGTTCAATGTCTTAAGTGTTCATCCTCCAAATGAAGAGACTGAGGTGTTTTTTTGTTTTTTGTTTTTTTTTTTTGCAGAACCGGGTACTGAACTCAGGCCCGTGCACTTGCGAGGGAAGCGCTTATACCCCTGAGCCATCTCCCCTCCCCCAAGACTGAGGTTTAAAAGTGTGAAGTGACTGAGTCAAAAATGAGCCAAGTACAGTCCCCTGATACTCTCTTACACCAGCGGTTGTATATTGCCATTTGATACTTATCAACTCCATAGAAACTTATGTAAACTATTTAAAGAAATAATTATAGGAAGACTTATAATTTGTAGAGTTATTGAAATGATCCATTATCAAATAGAATCACATATAAACAAAATGGCAATAAGGAAAGAATTATAAGGACAAAAAAAAAACTTTAAAGAAAAATGAATTCAACAAACTGGGAGAAAGTAACTGGCAAAATATTTTTTCTAAATTAAAATTAATAACAACGAGGCCTCCAGAAAATTGTTAAGATCATCTGCATGGGAAGTAGCTCAGACAGGCTAGCGGGGTATACCTAGTACACAATGTCTGAGCCTGGATGGAGTAACAAAGATATCCATGGTGGTGAAAGAAGGGAATGGGAAAGGGACCAGGCTTCAAGAAGTCAGTCCTGCCATGTGATACAACAGCCTGAGTTGAATGAGGAAAGGTGTCTGTACAAGAGAGGGGGTACAATATAAGATGTTAAGGACCTAGTGGGCTAAGGAGGTAAGGGACAGGAATGACAGTAGTCTACTACAGGGTGTTAGGAGTCAAGCTGTAAGACATCTATTTGATATAGAAAGAGGAACTAGTTGAAACAGGTGTCATTAAATACATGGATGAACACAGATCAAATTAGTAAATATGTCAAGGATGTGCTAGATGAAAGTGAATTCATAGTACAGGTAAAGAAAATTAGAAATATAGGGTGAGTCAATTATTAGATAAGATCTGGATATAATGATATGAACTGATGGCTCTCAATATAGACATAAAAATATAAAAATAAAGGTTAATATGTATACATATAAGCGTGTATTGTACATTAATTTTCTTAGGTGTGTCCACTGCAAAAGCCTGGTAATATTGACACCTCAACAGCAGTAAACACACACACTACCCCACATTTCCACCAAAAGTGATCTGGACTCCTCTAAGAATTAGCTGATCCCAGATCTGGGGCAGGGAAATGTGCAGGACAGGCCTAGAATAGCTTATGTCTGAAAACAAGGAAAGAGTAATAGAAGAATACAAAAATAAATAATGAGTGTAACATATTATATTTAGAATAAAATATGGTTCCACGATCAGTAAAAGAATAAACTGAAAGTATGTTAAGGAACAGGATATTTACATTACCTCCGAACATCTGCCTATAAGGTAAAGTTTAATTATTAAGGGCAAAAAAGTAATTTGTAGTACAAAAACTTGGCAAACATCACCTTAAACAAGTGATCCAACATAACACTGCTAGAAATAAGGAAAATCAAAGTCACATGACCCTGACAGAATGCAACACTCCAACTTGAGGTAAATAGTAAAATAGCTGGCCTATAACCTTCCAAGTTGTTAAAGTCAAGGCAAAACCATGGAACTGCTTCCAACTGAAAAAGATCAATAAGATAAGAGAAATAACTCTAACATGAAGGAAATTCTTTTGGTGTAACATGTACTACTGGAATAAATGGCAAACTTAAATGTGCCCTAAACATTAGAAGGTAGAAATATATAGTGTTAATTTTCTAATTTTCATGGCAATGTAAGAGAACATTTTGTAGATAATAAAGTATTTGGGAATACAGGGACATCATACTGATAATTTACTTTTAAGTTCAGAACCAATAAAAAGGGAAAATTGTACATAATTATAAGCACTATAAAAAATTAAGGTATAAGCACTGCATAATTAGCATTCTATAGCTTTTAGGAATCATCCTGAAAATAAGCAGTAAAATACATTGATTATTTAATAATTCTCCTTTTTTCTGGATTATAATTTTCACATTATAAGATACACTGAAGAACTACATTGTATAACGCAAGATTAATAGTAAATAGAATCATACTATGTTCAAACATCTTACAAATCTTAAAGACTCAAAGGGATGATACTAGACAATTATCTGTCCTGTTAGTTACCTTGTTCCCATTTGTAAGATATGCAATGTGGGTTAAATCTGTTAAGGAAAATAGAAGATCCTTTAGGCTGTAGAATACATATTCTCACACCATTTTGAATTCTATCACCCAAATAAATTAGCTGATAAAAATTTTGCTTTTCCTATATCTCCATCTAAAATTCACCTCACAGAAAATAGTGCTTGCAAATAAATTTATAAAAATGTGAATGAATGACTCCATTTCTTTTTTTTTTTTTTTTTTTTGGCGGAACCGGGGATTGAACTCAGACCCTTGCGCTTGCCAGGAAAGTGCTTATTCCACTGAGCCATCTCCCCATCTCCCTATGACTCCATTTCTGATAAGCTGAGAAATCTCTAGATTCTGAAGTATGAATTTGACCCATCTTCTATTTAGTTGGTCACAGAACTATAAAATTTATAAATACTTACCTCTCAATCATGCCCTCAAACTTAAAATCAAATTTCTACAATGTGGACAATACTAAATGTTACAATATAAACCATTCTCAAACATTTTCAATATACATCACTTATTTTGTGAAATTTATATGAAAAACATCTGACTTCCTGTTTTGCATCAGATACCATGTTAAAAATAGGATAACAAGGGAACTAACAAGGGAAGCCAAGTGAAAATAATCCATTTTACATATACACACACACAATAAAATACAGATATTATGGGGACATAAGTATGTATGATTTGGTCATCTCTCATCAGAACACATACTTCCCTATACAAAGTGGTCAGTACAGGGCAATCCCTACAGATCCACGACACTGACAAACCTGCCCGAGGTGAACTGTGGGAGACACCTGACCAAACAGACTACAGCTTTAGAAAATAAAAGCAGGGAAAAAAATTGATTCAATAAGTAGATATCAGAAATTCAAAATCAGACTTAGGATTAATGGACTTTCAGGCTAATGTTCATCCTGATTAAGAATTAATGAAAACTAGAAGGGAGTAGCCGCAGAAAAAAAGATGAAAACTCACAAAGCCAAGAAAAAAAAAGGAAAGTAATTTCTGTAATGTGGGGTCCCTGATAGTCCTTAAAAACCTTAGTATCAGCCTCCTCCCCTTTCTGGAAGGCTACTGAAGAAGTAACGCCCAAGTTCAATTTTCTCAAAGGAAAAACATCAGCAAGGTAGGGATGCTATTTTACACGGAGGAGAGAGCATGTTGAAGTATATAGCAGAGTACACTGGAGGGAAATTTGTAAGACCTGATGCCTACTGCACAAGCCAGAGAGGAAAGTAAATGCTGAAGAGCTTTTAGTAACAAGGAAAGGAGTCTATGTTCTACTCTCTCCAAACCCACCACACTACTCTCCCCTTCTCCAAAACCAAAGATATTATAAACTATGGCCTTAGTTCTTTTGGTGAACTATGCAAGTTTCTTACTTTTTAAATAATAGTTGAGGGGCAGGGGTGTGGGCAAAAAAGAATATACAGTAGAGATCAATGTTCCCCAAAAGCCTAAAATATTTACCATCAAGCCTCTTTAAAGAAAATATTTGCCTAACCCTGCTGCAAGAAATTCAAGAATTTCAGTGTGATAAAGTTATCATACAAGTAAGGATGATGGGTGGGAGAGAATAAAAACTGTAGCTAAGAAAATCAGCACAAGATACTGCTCAGTTCAGGCCAGGGAGATAGCTCAGTAGAATAAGCACTTGTGCAAGTGCAAGGGCTTGAGTTCAATCCCCAGTTCCAGAAAAAAAAGATACTGCTCAGTTCAGAAGACAATGATCTGAACTCAAATAATGTTAAAGATAAGAAAAAGGTCGGTTATGAAGAAAACTTCTTTTAGGATAAAGTCTCAGATCCTTGGCACTGTGTCCAGATCCCTGCACAGAGCAACCACTACTTCCTACTCCAGTGTAAGAGTCTTCTACTTAGTTTGTGCCCTCAGGCTAGAATGCTCTCACTCCCTACTCAACTTTCCCATTCTCACTTGTGATCTCCCACCATCCACATTATCCTACTCTTAAATCCAGATCTCTTTTAGTCATTCAGATGATAAATTACTGAGCACTCACAAAAAAGTAGGAACTGTGCTAGATTCCAGTGACAGTGATCCAGAGAGTCCCTTCCCTGGAATTTATACTGTACGGAGAATAATCATCAGACTATAAACTTGAATATTCAAGGAAGTCAAGTAGCTCACAATTATTTAATACAGATACTATGGCTTGTATCTACATGGATCAAAGCCTTATGTAGACATAGGCTGGGCTTTTCAGAAGTATCTAGATCTACAGTGTATGATGGTAGGCTCAAGGAACTAATCACTAAATGAGTCCACTGACTGGTTTGGCATAATTCTGGGCAGAATTAATGGTGCCCTAACTTGGGTGTGGGTGAGGAGCCTGGATAAAACATAAGGGACACCCCTGCTTGTTTCTTGTAGCTTACTGGTTGCTACTTTCTGCCTGCTACAAACTATTTCTCCTTTTCTATACCACTCTGCCTTGGACCTGCCAACTGTGATCTGAAAACTCTACAAACTATAAGCTTAGCCAGAGATGGTGGTGCATGCCTGTAATCCCAGAATACAAGAGGCTGAAGCAGGACGATCGCCATGAATTTGAAACCAGCCTGGGCTACCTAAGTGAGTTCAAGGCAAGTGTTGTACCACATAGCAAAACCCTGTATCAAAAAAATAAAAGCAAAAATAAAAATAAAAAAACAAAAGAAACACAGCCAACTAACCAAACAACTATGAGCGACATACAGTAAACCTTTCTTCCTTTTAACAGTGTCAGGCATTTTGTCTAAGCAACAAGAAAAGTAATTAAAACAGTAATTATCAAGTATACAAGAAAATTTGCTAAGTACTGCCACTCATTCCTCCTTATACTTGCTTCAATTTTAAATACATGGACATTTCAGTTATTTTTTCAAAATTCTGTCAAAATAAAAATAACTGCATTTATACAGTTTCTCAGGATTTGAACCTCCAGATTCATGCATAAAAGCATAGTTTAATTTGCTTCTGTGTCTTGGTATATCTCACAAAAATCTGTTTCAAAAAACTGGACCATGTTTCAAAAGATTTTACATGTCAGACCACCTTTGTTAAACTTGTATTTTCTTTCCATTCTTTGATGATACATTTTATTTTATTTTATTTTATTTTATTTTTGCATGAATTTGGTACAGGATCTCACTACACAGTTTGGAATCATAGTGGATCCTCCTGTTTTCAGCCTCTCCAATGCTGGGATTACAGGTATGCATCACTATGCCCAGTCTTGGAGGCTGGCTCAGCACACCCGGGGGATCAAACCCGGGTCCCTGAGTTTGCCTAAGCAGGTGCTTAGTCCACTGAGCTATCTGGCCAGCTCTGAAGCTACATTTTAAAACTATAAATGACTTGAGACCATAAACTATTGTACTTCACGTCCCTAACATCACCATGCTGTGGCTGGCATCCAGTAAATATTCAAAGAAGGTATCCTTAAAGGACTATGTATCCTCAAGTTAATTAATATTTCTGAACATCACAAAACCATCATAGTAGTACATTTAGTTTATATAATTCAATCCAAATAAATCTGATATTTTAATTAGTTTGCATAACCATTAACTGGGGAAGTTTCTGCCAAAAATACTTCTAAATTTTTTAAACTAAATATTATTAATATTGTAGATCACTAGTAACATGAGGACTACTGTATGGAAACATCTGCTGAAGTCAGTAATATTTGAGAAATTCAAATAAAATAAAAAGAACACTTTTGTATTAAAAGTCCAATATCTCTTACCTTTCCAGATGGTGGGCCATGGGTTTTATTGCTTCCGCTGCTAGGAATCTCTTATCAAGTACTTCTCAAGTTTCTATCTAGTATCCCTAGAGAAAAGAAAAGGCAGAAAAAAACTATTTAATCTTGTGAGACCTCAAGAAATAACCAGGGGCCAGGGAGATGGCTCAGGGGAATAAGCGCTTCCTTAGCAAGCGCAAGGGCCTGAGTTCAATCCCTAGTTTCACCAAAAAAAAAACAACAAAAAACAAAAAACAAAAAAAACAAAACAAAAAAAAAAAACAGATCAGTTCAACTTATTAAAAGATAACACTTGACTTTTGCTTTCCATTCTATATTATCTAACACAAATTTAAAATTATCTGACCTGTGGATGCAGCTCTAGATATAGTAGAGTAATGCCCTGCATGTATGAGGTGCTGGATTCAATCTCTAGTGGCTCTAAAGAAACAAAGTTCCTTCAAAATCTCAAGTCCAAAACAATGTATATCTTGTTATCTCTCATAAGTCCAGCAAATTATTTATTTATTTATTTATTTAGTGTGTGTGTGTGTGTGTGTGTGTGTGTGTGGCCAGCTCAGCCCACCAGGGGGCGGGGCTGGCTGGCACGTGGTGCTGGGGGATTGAACCGTGGTCCCTGTGCTTTGCTTAGCTTGTACTAAGTAGGTGCCTCAGACCACTGAGCCATCCCACCAGCCCCTCAGCAGATTATTAAAGGTGTGGAAATTTAAAGAGTGAAAGTAGGGAAATAAAATTTTATTGAAGGGGAAAAAAGTTTTATCATAATAAACTTGAAGGGAAAATTATACATAATAAATGAAATGGTAATATTAAATCTAAACATTAAATTCTGTGGAGAGATTTACAGTTTTTCTTGTGTCAGCACTACTCCATTGTATGGGATCCAGTTTATGTTCTTACTGAAACACCCTGACTTTTTAAAAAATGTCTGTGTAGTAATAATTAGGTTCAGCTATTAATGACACAAAACTCAAACAATGCCTTAATTTTTTCAGAATTTTAATTCTCTCAAACAAGGTTAACCCAGAACTATGATTACTGAAAGAAACTAAGAGACCTATTTGTGGTTCTGTTACTCTCAACATGTGGCTTCTACTTCTTGATTTTAAAAATAACTGCTCAAGCTTTAGCTCTCACACCCATTATCAGACAGCAAGAGAAGAAAAGAGAGGAGCAATAGTCTCACTTTTGGGAAACTTTTCAGAAATCTCATAGGAAATTTTTATTCCCATCCCATTTGGTAGAATTTAAGTTATATGATTAAAACTTGCAGGGACACCAGGCAACATTTCACTGTGTCATACACTTAAAAACTACAATTCTTATCAATAAGACAAAAGAAAATGAATTTTGGTGGACAAATAGTTGTTTTTGTCACACTCATTTCATTCTAAAATGCAAGCCGACTGGATACCTTGTAGAGATGCCTTAGCAGTCTATTGAAGCGATCTTTCAAAAGAAGGTCTTGCTATTGGCAGATAAAAGACCAACTTTTATAAGGACTTTCCTAAATATCGAAGGTTAATCTGTGGGTGACAGGAAGAACAACAATGAAATAAAACTAAAACAACCTGAAACACAATCATTGTAATTTGGGAGCATAAATTCACATAAGCAGTCTGCAAAACTCAAAAAAAACTACACAGCCCCATTATGTGAGTTCAGGTAAGAACCTGGCAGAAAGTTCAGCTAGCAACTGCATTAGGAAAAGATAATCATCTCAGAAATATGATGTTCATCAGGAAAGCAGACCTTCCTCTACTATGATCTCAGGAGTGAGCTCTCATTATCAGGCCATGTATAAACTTAGGAAAGCTCCCTACTGCAGACTGTTAGAAGGGAGCTAAAATACGGTTAATGTTTACAATTTTGATGCAAATACCAGAAACTAGAAAGGATTCTTCCTTTCAAATCTAGCAACAAAATTCTGTTTTAAATACAAACTGGTGCAAATAGGATGTTCAGCTATGTAAATGTAAATTGGGGACTATAAATGGAGGATCAATTTAAGACAAACGGGTTTCTGAGACAATGTAAATGTCCATGCATTCTAGATAGAGACGGATTTCTGTAAACTGTTTCAGAAATATTTTTATTCTATAAGCACAGCTTTGTTTTCCCATCTGTAAATAGATTTGTATTCCTATTTCAAAAGCTGCTTAAAATGATCAGGAACATCCTAAAAAACATTAAGAAAGACTGGTATTATTGCCACGTCAGACAAGAGGCAACAAAATTAAACTAAATCAGCTATACTTGGTCTTTTTCACTTATGACATATATATGTAATATACAGATAATATGGATTGTGAAAAAACATTTCAAAAATGTCTTTTTTTAACTTGAAAAGTACATGTTACAGTTTAGATCTAAAATGTCTCCCAAAGGTCTCATGGTCATACAGGGCATAGACCACTTGAGAGTGAAACCTGCAAGGGTATACTTGTCCCAGGTACCTTTCTCTATTGACTTTCTGGCTGCAACGTAGTTAAAACTTTATCCACATATTCTTTGACCATGCTACTTCTGTCTTGGAGTCTGCCTACCATTGACTGAACATATTGGAACAGTGAACCAAAGTAAACCTCTACTGCTTTTTAAGCTGCATATGTTGGGTATTTTGTCCTAGCACCAGGAAAGCTAATACAAAAAAAAAAAAAAAAAGTTACCAACAATGTGGTTACTAGTGTGACTGTATCTGAACATGTACTCTGAAAGCCCTTGAAACTTATTTATGAGGAAATCTGGGAATGTTCAGAGAAGTAGGCTAGAGAAAGCGTTCAGTGCTGTAAACAGAGCTTGATGGATGAGTCCAGTCAGAGCTCAGAAGACGAGATATTCGTAAGAATGTGGACAGAAAAAATACACTCATGAAGTTTAGAAGGGAATGAGGATTGTAGTGTAAACTGTACTAGAGACTTCGCCTGTTTCATACTAACAAAGAATGTGTCTATATTTTCTATGTATCCTAATAGTATGTAAGGCTGAATTTAAAGGTGGTAGACTAATCAATCTGGCAGAAGAAAAATTTCAAGACAGTCCAATGTTCATGCTGTGGCATGGACAATGCTGGTTGCTTTCAGCCAGACTTACAATAAGAATCAGGTGCCAGTGCAGCGCTTAATGATTTGAAAAGGTTGCAGTTTTGCCAGAATGGAAGCACATATAAAGTTGGGGCAAAATAGAGTATGGTTGCTGAAAAGACCAGTATTAAAAAACAAAAACCCAAGTACTTTGCATAAGAACAACAGGAAAGATGGTCTGAAGGCATCTCAGGAACTGAACCCTAATCTTCAAGGGTTCAAAAGTATAAAACTTTTAACTGTTAACATCAGAAGAGAACCTAGCTCATTCAGGGCTACCTATGGAAATGTTTTCAGAGATTAATCATTCAGGCACTCAGAGCTCCTGTAGCCACAATCTAAGGGGGTCCAGTTACTGCTCCCCCAATAGCTGACCTAGGCATAATTCACAGTGCTTTAAGTATGCAAAATGAAAAAATTGTAGGGTCAGAGGGCTTCTCTCCAGATTTCAGAAGAAACCCTGAGAGCTCAGGTAGTGTAGCCCTGATTAGGCAATATATAAAGCTATGAGTGAGATGCCAAAAATATGGAATGTCTACTGAGAAAAGCCGCAGGCAGTGAGAAGAGCTGACTCAAAGAAGTGGTCATGGGGGCTATAACCAGCAAGACCATAGGGGCTCAAGCCCTCTGAAGCTCATAGTTTGCCACAACTAACTCTGGGTGCAGGACGTGGATTTAACGCTTACCCTGCTGGGTATTGGTCTTCCTTTGGTCTAATTTCTGTCAATTCCCTTATTATTTTTAACTTGAAAGTTACATGCTGTAGTTTAGATCTAAAATGTCTCCCAAAGGTCTCATGGTCATACAGGGCATAGACCACTGAGAGTGAAATCTGCAAGGGTTTACTTGTCCCAGGTACCTTTCTCTCTTGACTTAGTTACACATTAAATGTATAATTTAAAATGCCTTAAAGCCTCTATCCTTGTAGAATGGTAATGTTTTTTCTTGTACCAGTTAACTTTGATTTTTACAAGGGCTCACAGCTAAGAGGTTGTCCTATGTCTCAAATAGACTGGAGCTGGACTTTTTAGCAATGCTACAACAGTTAAGACTTTGGTGGTTTTTAGAAATAATCTATTTAATTTTACATAATAAGATGAACATGAGCCTCTTGGGGGCCAGAGGCAGAATATTATAGGCCTAGCCAGAGGGGGTGGATCACTGAAGGTAAAATCTGCAAGAACATAGCATCCCCAGCTCATCCCTCCTCCTTCTGCTTCCTGGATACCATGCAACAAATAACTTTTCTCCACCTTTCCTTTCAACATTGTATTTTTGCCTTACAACCTGACAATCATGGACAGAACCTCACCGGAAACCACAGGCCAAATAAACTTCTTAAAATTGTGGGTACTGGGTATTTTGTCAGTGTTAGGAAATAAAGCTAATATAGCACAGATGTAAGGTATCTCTGCCACCACTATCTTACCTACTATTGATTTAGTTCTTTTGATATAATTAATCGGTGTATATAAATATTGCTGAGTATCCTGGTAAAATCTAAATACTGTGCCAGGAAACAGGGCCCAACAGACAGGCATTAGTGCTAGAAAGGAATTAACCCTTTCTTGGGAATAATCTCAGAAGTCCAGCATACTCAAGGACAATCCTAAGTGACATAGACAAGTTGGCTTCTGTCCTTATAATGTACAGGAGCTGGGAAGGAGTAGGAGAATCTTACAAAATGGTAGTATTCAAATAGAGATATGTGTATAAGGCTTTCCAAGGGATACCTGTATACCCAAACCTTCAACTTCCCTGTGTCCATTTTCCTAAAAGCAATCTACTTGCCCTGAGTCTTCATTGTCACACATTTCAAATATGAAACAATCATATCCAACAAAAATCAGTCTCAACCAGCCCCAACTGTTTGAATGCAATGCCCCAGTTATTATACCAACTTCCATGCAACAAATGTATAATTTAAAATATCTTGGGGCTGGAGAGATGGCTCAGTGGTCTAAAGCACCTACTTGAAACAAGCT